GCTCAGACTTAATCTGGTCAGGTAACATATGAGGAAGACACCCCACTTCTTCATTCTTCTCCTCAAAAGGAAGTGAGGTTTGGAGGATCCTGAGTTCAGAAGGATTTTCAGTACACGTGAGGGCTGATGCCTGCTTGTTCAGGTCCACGACTCCCTGCTCTGGTTTGCTCTCATGCTGCTCGGGGAATTCCTGCTTAATGTCAGTCTGCTGAGGTTCCCTGTCCTCCTCCAGGCCGGAGTTACACTGTTGCTCATGGGGTTGACGACCCTGAGGAGCCGCTCCACTGGAGACAGGGGGAGCAACATGGTGGGCATTATCTGTAGAGAAAAAGAGATGATTTAAAAGCAAACCATAATGATTAGGGATGTGCAAAATCACTTCCCAATGCAATTGCGAATGTATGGTGTAGGATTAACTATATTACTGTTTATATTATCACTTTTGCTGTGTTCACACCAGGTACTAACATGCGTCCTGGGTGATCCAATCACAAGTGGACAGCGCTAAATACAGGTGTGAACGCACCAAAAACGCATTGAAATCCAATCGCTCAAACCACAATCTGAGGTGGTCTGGGACACATATGGCCGCATCATATAGTAGTGCGAAGGCAAATGTGTCCTGGGCCACATTGAAGGACCGCCTACTCAACGCCCACACAAGAACGTCAGCTAAGCAGGCATGTACTCAGTAAACACGAGTGGTATCTGACATGATTAATATCAGAATGCATGTCAGTGCCAAGTGGGGCCAGTGACTTAAAGACGTTTCGAAATTTGCAGAGATCACATTCATTGCACACTTTGATGAAGCGGGTGTCCATGCTTTATTAATATTAGTGAAACGTGCCAATAAAAATGACGTGAATGCAAAATTAAAAGCATGCAGGTAAAAATGTACATTTGACAGTCTAGATCAGAGGTTGGCAACCTGCGGCTCTTTGGGCACGTGGCTGCGGCTCTTCTCAGAATGACAGATTAATTCACATTTTCATGTCTTGACATATTACGATACTTTCATAAATATAAAATTATTTATTTATGGGTTAATATTTTTCATTTAGATTCACCTGTCAAGCTGTGAATAGGTAAGTGGCAGAAATTTTGCATCATCAGTTATAATGTTTAGATGTTATAGAACACGTACAACTAGGTTTTGGATGTTTTGAAACTTTTCTGGCAACTGTGACGATCATGTTCTATGTGTTCAACATCAGCCTGACAAAAACAGAGGGAATACAGATAGTGCACCAGACCTTACAACCCACCACAAGTAAACTTTGTTTGTAGTACACCTTTTTGCAGGTCTGTTCACTTGACTGGTTTCTTGATGGGTTGGCATATTTGAAACATGTGTTTTATTGCCAGCACATGGTGAATGATGAAAAGGAAAACTCAATAAATGCATTTTGAAAATGAGAATGTTGCAAAGATTTGGTTTTTCCTTATTTTCTGTCCTTGTGTCATAGGTGAAATTAACAAGTTGGAACAACATGAACAGTCCAGGGGGTCGTATATGGCACATTCATAACATGGACTGGGAAAGGGTTATTTTTACAAAACACCTGTTTTTGAGTTCACTGGGTCTGTATGATCATTTTAGCCAATGAACATATTTTTCCTATAATAAGGTGGTCTGGGTTCCCCAGGGTTAATGACAGAATCATGATGTCCAGTACATAGACAACGATGCACACCGCTTATTTTTGCGCTTCAAACCATTTCGTGATTTGTGCAAAATCGTGTTAATAGCTAATATGTGTTCTTTCAGCTGTAATGACACAGTGGTTTAGCATTTTGGGCTCATGGCGACTGTTGCACACCCCTTTGTTTCCCATATTACTTTACGTACAAATTTTAATTAATTTCTTAATGTTCTAATGTATCCATTTAATGTGCAATGGGACAATACATGAATGGGTTAATAACTTCAAACTAGACAAGACAGGCACATCTAGTGGAGTGTGCTTTGATCAGTGGACAACAGGGAACAATGCACACCCCTTGGATTTTCTGCTTATTTTTGTCTGTAATAGTTATTACATTGCATCCACTTAAGGTGCAATGGGGCAACAACTAAGGGGTTAATAGCTCTAAAAAACAAAATGGGACAGCCATGTCCTATGGAGTGTGCTTTCATCAGTGGACTCTGGGGGATAATGCACACCCCTTGGATTTAAGATCACTTTCAAGATTAAATGTGACGAAACACGTAATCAAACAATTCAACTGCATTTGCTTTGTCCCAAGGTGCACTGCCTAAATCACACTTTACAACTTATTTATGAATTAATTTGTGTTATCAATTAACTGTCAATATGTATGAAATGGAGCAATGGCATGTAATATGCATACAATGTGTTAATTAATAACTGTTAGAGAGAAAGTTATTCTGAAAATCCAAGGGGTGGCGTTGTTCCCTGTAGTCTACTGATGAAAGCACACTCCAAAATGTTAAACTACCATGTCGTTACAGCTGAAAGAACATATAATATTAGTTAACACGATTTTGCACAAATCACAAGATGGTTTGAAGCGCAAAAATAATCGGTGTGCATCGTTGTCTATGTACTGGACATCACGATTCTGTCATTAAAAACGCCCAACCTTCCGTTAAAAGTTATTAAAGCCATGAAACTGAATATCGAATATGAGGCTCTCTTCTACCAAAGCAAATAGTCAATCAGTCAATATTTTTTATTTTTATTTTTATTTTTTTTTTTTAAAAAGGAGCGGAGATATTAGGCACTGCTCCCGCATCCAAAGTGTCAAAATTCATCCTGTCGAGCGAGCGAGTGCTGTGCAGACGCGAGTGCGTAGATAGTGTCCAGCGAACGCGAGCGCGTAGAGGATGGGTTTTGAGCTCGCGAGTGCACACGTGCGTGCGGTTCGACTTTTGGCACTAATTTATAGAGCTGTAATATTTGGTTCCCTCTGAGTCACTCACTAAACTGATCCGGGTGTGCGACTCACTTGAGTCAGTATTGCCAAATCGCCAGCCGAAACGTTTGTTTTTCATAGAAGAAAGTATATGTGGCTTGTGATGTGAATGTCATTTATTTTGACGTACATTCAAAGTACTAAGACAAGAGTAGCAGGGTTGCCGCTGCCGCTCGTCACTCTCGTCATTGACGAAAACGGAACCCATGGTGACGAAGAAAAACGGCATCAAA